GGAAGCTGCACTCCTGACTCAAAGTCACTGGCCCTCCCTCAAAATAAAAACCATCATCCTAATTTCAAACACTATAGATTAACTTTGCCCATTTAGTCACATAAATGGAATTGTACAATCTGGCTTTTCCCCCCGAACATTATGTTTGAGACTAGAGCAATTGTTCCTTCATTTTCATAGTTGAATGTATGGATGTATTTGTCTGTTGATTACGGACATCCTGTTGAAACGGGCATTGGGCTGTTTACAGTTTGGGGCCATTATTTGTAGTGCTGTTAGACGAAATAAAACTCTGCAGGACAATGATAAGTAGTAACCAACATTAGCCTGCATCAGGGAGACTGTAGGAGTGGCAGAGAGTGCGGTGAGCTGGGCACTGCTTCTGAGACAGGGAGCTTGTCCTCAGATCTAGTCCTTTCAGGTGAGGTGTCCAGGGTCTTATAGAAGAAGCCAACCCTAGGAATTGTTTTTCCTCCACGGCATCCCTTCCCCATGCAAAAGGCCTCCCTGTCCCACTTCTTACAGGCCGCACTATTTTTTCCCCCCTGATAATCCTTTGTGAACTTTCTGTAGACTGTTAATTTTTGTATTTAAGTTACAACCAGAGGTTGGAAAGTTTTGGATGGGAATCAAATATCCCATTATCATTATTCCCCAGGACAGACTGTTTTACAATCATGAGGACATGAGGGAACTGGAAGATAAAGTATGACCTTCGTTCCACAAACCAAAAGCTAAAATACTTTTTTTTTTTTTCCCTAAGTGAAACAATTCATTTCTAGACAGCCTTGGCGAGAGCTCAGACTGTTTTATGCTGGCTCCATGCTGGCAAAATAGAGAAATGCCCATGATACTGTGTTTTTGGTTTGGCGGCATTGGTGGTGGACAAACTGTGAAAGGAGGCCATCATTTTTCAATGTTCTAAGTAAATAATGTTCTAATAAGGCTAATGTGAGAGAATGAAAGACTAATACATGGGTTATCACAAAGCTGAGGTCTGTAAATTAGTCCTTTTGTTTATCCCCTAAAGCAGCAGTTCTCAAATTTTTAACACATGTAAGAATTCCCTACAGGGCTTGTTAAAACAGACTTCTGGCCACATCCCCAGGGTTTCAGATTCAGGTAGTGGGAGGGGTGACAATTTGCCTTTCAAACAAGTTTCCAAGTGATGCTGCCACTGCTGGTCCAGGGAACCCCCTTTGAGAACCACTGATCTAAAGAAGCCTTCACAGCAAGTATGTAATGATTATAAGCAATGAAAATGTCAGTAAATTAGACTTAACCAGAATTCATTTGAATTCGTTTTTATAAAGAGTCTGTTGAAATATTTTTTAATACTGCAAGTATTCTTGGGAATGTATGCAGTGTTTCTACCTAGATACCAAATAAAGGTTCTTCAGGGTGTTCCTCTAATGAGAATGTTGGTAAATACAAATGCCTTCCATTTGCATTTTAATTATTTGAAATTAGTGCTCACAAACTTGTTCCAAGTAACAATGATCATTTTTTCTATTATTCAATGCTTATCAAAACCTTCCACTAATTAAATAGATCTACACAAAATGTTTTAAGATGTGAGCAAAGAAAAGTCAAAAGGAATGATTCTCACAACCTTTGAGAAAACCAGAATAGAAACCTAGAACTGCCTCACTGAACTATCAATGGTGATTACTGAATACCCGAAGAAGTAAAAAGCCCCATTTTATCGATTGTTATTGGATCAGCCATTTCTCAGCAGAAACGAATCACCTTTTTCTTAGGTGGTGTTAGACTCTGGACTTGCTTCCCTTTAGGCTTTTTCATAAACAAATAACTAGAAAAGTCTCTAAAGAGGGGAGAGGCCAGTTCCTCATTTCAACGTGCATCAAGTTTGCCTGCACACAGCCCAGGAGGGTCCATTGTTACAGGTAAGGAACCTGGCCTCCTGAGCCCTCGTCAGAGAGCTGGCTTCCCGGCTCTGCTGATTCACTTGTCCCCGTCAGAGGCAGACCACCCCGCAGGTATCAGAGGCCACCTTTAGCTACTCTCTGGGTTTCCCTTGCACTTTCCATTTGTTTGGATCCTGTTGCTATGGCTTCTCTTGGTCCTGTCTTGCTGGGCTCCCTACCTCTAAAAGAATGGGTGAATCATTAACCTGCATGATTTAATTTCCAGTGGGTGGTGCTTGCTGGGTTCTTACAGCTTGACAGGTCAGAGACTGGTGAATTTTCTTTATAATGACCATTTATTGAGTTAGTCTGTTAGAAGATGGAAAAGGTAAGAGGTAGCCTGAATTCTTCTGGTAACTTTTGACTCTATCATATCCACAAGGGTAGTTATTTAGGGAGGGCCTCCCAAGAGCCTCAGCCTTATCTCATTTAACTCTTGCAAAAAACCTGTGAAGGAAGTACTTTGATGCCTTTTTAAAAATGCAACCTGGAGGCTGACGGAGGTAGAGTGTCTTGTCCTAGATCACAGGCTAGCTGGCGGTGAGGTGGGAAGAGCTTGAGGGTTGTCCAGAGCCTAGACACTTTTCTCCCTGCAAACCGCCCTGCTGTTATTTAGTTTCTCCAATCCTGCGGTGAGCTGTGTCAGCAGCTACTATTGCCTTGCTTCCAATATTTGTGTCACTGGCCAATAAATGATACTTAATGACCCTTACGTCCTATTGGACATGTTAACCTCCTACTGGCCACCACACCCTGAACCAGGATCACTGGAAAGGGAATCCAAAGCAGTGTCCTAACCCCTCAAAGGAGAAGAAGGAAGGCACGAGGACCGAGGGGAAACTTAAGGACTAAAAATTCTGATAGATCTATTAATATTATGCAAGTGCCTATGGAAGCATACTGTGTTCCTATAAGGGTGCAGCTGCCTAGGACTTGGACACCACGGTAAAGGAGAAATGGAAAAGTCCCCTGGGTGTGAACGTGTGTGAAACTACCTGGCACTCCTGTCCTTGGCTCAGCCACCTGTTTGTTGGGAGAATGAGGAACTGGCCCCTCTGGTTCAGCACCTAAAAATAGACCTAATGTGTCTGTTTTCACGAATGGGCAGAATGGGCCTTTTCATTCTTCTCCAGGGAAGCCGTACCAGCCTTTAAAGCAGCAGCCACAAATTATCAACCTAAAAACAAAACCAGCTCAACCCCACCTTCAGTTTCCTAACTGGTATTATATATACTCTCCCCTGGCCCCTAAAATAAGGATACCTCATGCATTTTTGTCCCCGACACAAAGCTCTGTAACACTTGAGGCCTCAGCTCAAAATATTAAAATGAACCCAGCATTAAGAATTACAAATTTCTTTTGTAGATAAGAGTTGAATTGCCTCTGGTTGGTGCCTATGTAGTTCCTCCAACAGCTCTCTAATCTAAAATTCAGTACCTGTTAGTTTCATTTGGCCTTAAGCCAGATGAGAGCCAGGGAGTAAATATAAGAGAACACGACGTCCCCAAAATCAATGTCTGAGTATTGTCATGGCAAGGTCATAACTTTGGGCTCCTCCTGCTTGCTGATAAGGGTAAATCTAAGAGTCTACGAATTCTCTCACACAGGCTTTGTGGACTGTTATATCTGAGACAGATTAGGAGAAACAAATTAAAGGGGAGAGTGGCTGCCATAGTCAAGTACACAAACTATAAGGAGAAGTAATGAATAAAAATTAGGGAGTACATTAGTGTGGGGTAAATAATCATACACTATGAAAACCTCTAACAAGTATTGCTTTCCTCATAAAACTACATTAAATGTAGTAATAATCACTGTATTTCAGCTAGTGCTGTGAGTGAAAATCAACATAAGAAGGCACGGTCATCAAGAAAAGATTTATTGGTGTTCAGTGTTCTCTATTGTCAAGTTGAGGAAGTAAATAATACACTGTAGAAAAACTCTACTAAAAGGTGTTGTTGGTGCAATTAAAATTCTATAGCGCTAAAAAAGCAAATTTTTATCAATCCTTAAAATTTGGCTCTCTAAATGTGTTCATTCTTGAAGGGTTCCAATTGCCAAGTTTCGCTTTTGATTTTTAGACTTGCTAAAATTATATTATTGGAGATCGCAGAATATGTGGTCAACTACTGATGTTCTGTCCATAAACAAGCTATGCACAGTCTGAAACCACCTTCCACACAGCCTATGGTGAGGGAAGATGGTTGTATGATGTGCTTCATAGTCCCATACAGGAATGCAAATTGTATCAAAGGTTGGCTCTTATGCAGTAGTTGACAGGATGGGTAAGGATTGATGCCTTCTCACACATAACTACTTTCTTCATATGGGAAGCTACTAAATGATGGAACAGCAATATGTTATTTCCACGTCACCATGAATCAAGTTGTCAAATGGTAGAATCAGCTTTACTTGAGCTTGAGAAGAGCTTAACTGGGAGGCACGTTTAAATCCTAGAAAATAGCTCTAATCACAGAAGTAGCGTGTCTGGGTGACCGCTGGGTTTTTCTATTCAAACCTGCAAGTAGTTTTTCCAAAACCTGGGGATAGATAAAATCTAGAACGTTTTTTTGCCAAATACTTTGCAGTAATATCTTTGCAGCCATTTCTCACTCTGTAATTTAAAACTTAAAGCAAGGGGCCTTATTTTTTTTGTTCTTACATCCTTATACCCCTGAAATACACCAAAGTACATACATACAGTAAGGAAAATTTAATGTATATTTGATTCTCTTAAAATGAAATAATCAAAAGATGATGAGCTATGTGGCTTCCAAGAAGTCTTTTAGGTCACTAATGTTTTTAAAAGCTTTTTTGTTTTGAACCTGGAAGGGATATCAAGTGAACAGTCAACACTTTTCGACATACAGACAATTTAGATGAGAAGGCTGGACTCACTTATGTTAATTATCTTCCAAGGGTAAAGGATGTTAATGTTAACTGGGCTCTCTCTACCTGTCTCCTAGGATGAGTTAAAAGTTTCACTTGAAATTCCAGACGCCTCCTTTTCCTTACCTCGCTCAGTCTCCCTCATTTGTGACACATTCCACATTCTGCCCTGCCTCACTAAAGATGCAACAACCTGCCTGTAATTACCCTCTAAAAAAGGACAGAGACATACCAGAGGATGCATGGCACTTGGGTGAGGAAACTGAGCAAGCCCCGTGTGGTCCAGAGAACAGCAACTCAGACGGTATTCCCTGGAAACATCCAGCCACAGGGCCTCTGAGTGGCCTGAGGAAGACAGAGTCATCCAGCCCAGAGGTGGAGTCCCAGAGCCTCAGGGCCTCTCCTCGGTGCCCCCAGAGGAGCCTGTCAAAGAAGCTCTGTGAGAACCAGGGGAATCTCTTCCACTTTGACCGGCAAGCCCCAGGCAGAATTTCTATCTCTCCCACTTTGAGGAGATGGAGGGGCAGGGGCTGTGGGACATCGCACTCCTTGTCTCAGCAAGAGACCATGGAAGGGCCCACCTGGGGAGGCTGGAAGGAGCCTGCAGGCTTCCAATGTTACCTTTCCAAGAGTCTTCCTGGAAGCCCAAAGGATTCTCCGCACTCCTTATCGCCTTGGGGACTCTGCTCAAGATTGCCTACAGACCCCAAAAGGACCTTCAAGGCAGCTGATTCATTGGAACCCCAGACAGAGCCCACAGATGAGGATACCCACCCTGTGCTTCAGCCCATCAATGAAGGGTCCTTTCCCCAGGCCTCTCTTCCAGGGAAAGGAGGCCACTCGATGCCCAGCCCCACTGCATGGCCCGCTAGACCTCAGGTAACATAGCACAAAGCCCCCTCCCTCTCATTCAGTGGACTGGAAAGCAAAATTGCCCCCTGGGTTTCCACATGACCCCAAACGCCAGGGGTTCCTGTGATGGGAGACAGCACAGGGAGTCACAGCCGTGGGGACACACACTCTTTAGGGTGGGCTGACTTTCAAGCTGAAGGGGTGCAACAGTTTGAGGAAGAAGGAGAATGGAGCTCTAGTTCACTTTCACCCTCTGTACCCTGAAAAGGCTCTTTAAGAAAGGGCCCATCAAGCTCAGGCTACAGACGGTCTGCTGGGCATTGGATAGTAAAGGCAGCCCTCTATATGTAAATGCACGCAATTTGAAGAAAACCTGCTTTGACTGGTTTAAAACGAGAGAAAGAATAAATTATTCAAATTTCTAATCTTCCCCCCTTCTCCCAAATGTAAAACATTTTAGTTAGGAAAACTAATTGCCTCTCCTTTCAAGATGCATGCTTTGAAATTTGGTGGGGGGGGGGGAGGTGGATTTCAGCAAAACTAAAACATATACTTTTAAAATTTATTTCAGGGAGAAGAATTACATCGAGCCAGGTGCGTATGTATTTATTTTCTCCAGTGCTAAGAAATCTGTGTCTGTACTTTTACATCTATTTTTCTGTTCTGACATAGCAAACCTGATGGCTTATTAATTGGGGCATTTGTTTGACAGACCCCCAAGTTACTCTTCATATTTACAAGTGAAAAGACTTAATTTCAAGAGTCTCCTTTAACAGCACAGCATTTGGCTGTGGCTTTTGGGGGCAGGGTTTGACAGTGGAGCACAGTCAAGGTTTTCATTTAGAATTGTCAGTGAATTGGCCCTGTGGCTTAATTAACATCCACTTAGTAATAGCTTTTGTCAAGCAGAGAACATGGGAAGGACAGAAACATTCAATAGCTTTTCAAAGAGAAATTCGGAGGAGAAGGTAAAAGAAACAAGATGTGCTGTTTAAATCTAGGGCAACCTTTAAAATGTCTGTTATGACTGGCTGCCTTTATCTAGAACACACGTGCATTGTGTCACTTCAGAAACCAGCTCTGAACTTTCAGCATGGTCATCAGGTTGTGGCAGTGGGTTTGCCATCCCTCCCAGGGATGAAGAATTTCTCTGGCTGCAAGGACAAGATCCATGCCTAATTTCATCCACCCAATTTGTGGAATTGGCAGGAAAGCCTTCACTTCATTTGGAAAGTCACAGAGGAATCCTTCAGGAATTAGCCACTGTTTTATTACTAGACCTCAATCCTCAAGCAAGAGTCTGGGTTCATACCAGGAAAAATGAGGCCCATCTATGTACTCCTTGTTGATTTTAACTCTAGTTGACCTAAATGTATGAACAAAGGTAGAGGATATTTACAAAGCCACAGGAAAATGCACATCATTGTGTTAGTGTATCGGTCACCTATTGCTAAATTACAAACCACCACAAACATCAATGGCTTAAAATAACAACCAGTTATTGTTTCTTATAAATCTAATTCTCTGCTGAGAGTTGATCTAGGCTGCACTCAGTCGGTGGTTCCACTCCACACATCCCTCATTCTTTTCATGGAACCAACGGTCTACCCCAGGCATGTTTGTTTGTCTTATGGGGAAGGGAGACATTCAAGGGACAAGCAGAAACATGCAAGTCCCCTTGGAGCCTGAGCTCTGTATCTTGCCTAATTCTATTGGCCAAACCAAGTCACATGGCTGAGCTCAGGAGCAGGAAATCAATGGGAGAGCACTGAAATGTTATATGGCAAATAGTATGGATACTAGGGTTGGTGAAGAACGGGGTTATTAATGCAAATCTTCCACAGGTGCTAACTAGAATAAAGCTCTAAAAAGAAACCTAATTCAAATGCATCAGAGAAAGTGAAAAAGAACAGCCTGAGAGAAAGATGCTGATGTTGAATAGAGTCGATCATGCATAGTCTAGTAGGATGTTTGGGATTTTGTTTCTTACCCAAAGAGCAGTGAGTGTGAATGGATTCATTGACTGGATCAATATGATCAGATGGATATAGGGTAGACATGAGATTTACATGGGAATGGACTCCAGCAGAACAATAAGAATGTTCAGGCAAGAGAAGTTGGTAGGTTAGACTCTGATAAAGGGAGTGAGATTAGAAAGAAGTATCTCAGTTCAAGAGCTACTTAGGAGCTGCCATCACCTGGACTTTGTGAATAGTAGATCATAACAGGTGAGGGGAAAGACATCAAGAATGAGCCTCTGAGCTTCTGGCCACTAGGTGGCAAATGGTTCCATTTGCTGATCTAGGTAACCCTGAGTGGGGGAGGGGTCTAAGGGTGAGTGGGGTGTAGGTCTTGGTTTCAAGTTTTGTCATGTTGAGTTTGAGGACTTATGGAACATCTGAGTGGAAATTTTGGGGAAATACTTGATTAGAAGAGGTATCAGGGACAGAGATACACATCTGAAGGGTTTTAATCAAGGAATGCTTTCCAGAGCAGGTAAAAGTCGGGTCCAGCTTTGATTATAAAATGGAGTTAGCGAACATAAAGGCTAAGTGATGGGACAGATCAGGCCATGTGCAAAAGATGACCTTTGGGTAGTTTTTACTGACATGCAGAATCTTTGGAAGGCAGTAACAGAAATAGTCTTGGTAAAGTCAAAGGAACGTCTTGGTCAAAGCACTTGAGGCCTTAAACAGCTCAATATGTCATAATCATATACTACAAAATAATGGAAGTTTACAGAAAAATCACAACAGGGAATTAGAGTGGACTAGTGATGAGACTGAATTATTCAATATTGTTTCTCCAGGACTTAGTACAATACTTGGCATACAGAAAGTAAAGTTTGTTGAATGATTAAATGAAGGACTAAGTAACTATAATCTCTGCATTAACATACTAAACATTTATATATTACTACTAAAAGTAATTTTTTCATCAGCCATAGACCTCTCAATCTACACTTTTTAACCAAAAAGTTTACCTGAAGCATGAATCTTTGGTAAAGTGCTAACCTTCTATAGCACAAAGATCCCTGTTTATCTGTCTGTGCTCCCTCCCTCTGTTCATTGTCATGTCTCTGCAGTCTTTTCCACAGCAGCCATTTGTTCAAAGGGCTACTTCCTTCAGATAGCTACTTACCAGGCTTAGTCATAGAATGTCAGGAAAAGAGTTCCACCTGAGCCCTGCTGCCCGTCCAGGAGCTAGGAGCCCCACCTCAAAAAACTTATTTCAACTTAGTTAAGTTAGGACTTTAATATGCCGATTAAATCATATAAATCAGGGGCTAGAAAACTATGGCCTATGGCCCAAATTCAGCCCACCACTTGTTTTTGTAAATAAACTTTTATTGGTACACAGCTATACCCATTCATTTAAATACTGTCCCTGGCTGCTTTTATAGCTATGCAATGGCAGAGTTCAGTAGTCACTGACTGTTTGGCCCGGAGAACTTAAAATACTTACTGCCTGGCCCTTTACAGAGAAAGTTTGCTGACCTCTAGTATACTCAATTAAGAAATGCTTTGCCTCTGTGGCTGTCAATCACAACAACCTGTATGCCTTGTAGAACAGATATGAAACCCTTTCTCAGAAATACTGATTCTTCTTTTATTATAGTGTTTTAACACATGGCCCGATAATTGGGCAAACTCATATAAATAAGAAGGGCCCTATCTGCTCAGTTCTAAAATACGTTCAGTGTTATGACTTTGATTCCAGGTTATTCTTTGTGAACTTTTTTTTCTCGCTGTCATTCCCTCTCCCTCTATAATACTTCAGTAAACTCACACTCACTCCAAACTTTCTTCTCCTATCACCAAAATATACCTCGTGGAAAACAATATTTAGAATTCATCCATACTAAAGTGTGAAGGACTATAAGCTGAAAGGATATCTACACTCATCTTTCCAAATAAAGCAGCGTATTCCCTTTGGGGTCCCTACGCCTTGTAAATGCCTCCATCATAGCATCTAAAACACTGTGCTGCATTTCTTTTATATTCATCTTCTTCCAGAACCAAGACCTCCCTTAGGCCAGAGACCACATATTTATCCTTAAACCTGAAGCACCCAATGTCCAGCTAGAATCTATCTCCACAAATATTTATTAAAGGAAAGGATGGAGGGAAGAAGGAAGACAGTCATGCTGGCAGAATGCTTGGCTTGCAGTGGTCCTATCTCTCCTAGATGAATTTGCATTTTGACAGAGAACATGACTTGAAGCCAAACAATGAAGCAGGGTTGGTGGGATTTTGAACATCTGGAAGCAAGTGGGGGAGACCTTGGGGGTAGGGAGACCTTCATGGCGCTCTTTAAAATCATATTCACAGAAAGTTTTCAGTCTCACTTGATGTTCTGGTCAGCCCTGAAGCTGAGAAGGGAAACGTACGTTCTACTTCTATGAGAACAAAGACTAACTTTCCAGTGCTCAATAGGAAATAAGAAGAAGCAAAAATATATTGAAATTAGCAAAAGGGACAACATCAGCATGGAAACCAAACGACAAGGTATTTGAAAGTCTATCTCAAGGAAAAAAAACAGACAAAAACATTGAATGCCAGTAAAACACTCCCCAAAGCCACTTGGAATTACCCCTCAGTGGGGAAGCACAACTTGGTGATATGAGCTATTGGAATCAAACTCTGAGTTTGAGTCCTATCTCTACTTCTCTCTGGCAATGTGACCTTGGGCAAGTTCTTTGACAATTCGAAACCTCAAAGTCTGCATCCATGAAGTGGAGATACAAATAGTACCCACCTAATAAAGCTTTTGATAAGATACAATAAACAAACAAACAAACAAACAAACAAACTCTCTCTCTCTCTCTCTCTCTCTCTCTCTCTTTCTATATATATATATATATATATATATATATATATATATATATATATATGCATGCCAGGGAGAGTCTTCCATTTGCTCACTCCATATCCATGAAGTGCCCACTATGTGCCAGGCTCTGGGCAGTGAGCTAGAGGCTCTTCATCCTTTCTGCCTTTTCAGTTGGATTTCCAGCAAATGCAATATTTTGGTAGAAATTTGAACTGGAAATTATAGTCAGATGCAAAAGAAAGTTCCCAACAATCTTCTGAGTCTCATAATGGAAAAACATATCCCAGATTTAACCGTGAGAGCTACAGTTCCACAATTGGCAGTCAAGTTTTCATTTCTCTGTTGATTATTTTAAAAAGAGATTAAAAAAAATTGTTACTAATTCTTAGTGTGTTCTTCCTATGTAATCAACCCATAGCTATAAGCAAGCATTCCAAATTGCACTATATTTCTTGCATATGGCAAAACATTATGATGCTTAAAATAGAACACCTAACTTTTCTAGTCACACACCATTGCTGGTATACTGCCTGCTGAAAAAGGTACATTTAGCATGAATTTTACTTTTAGTAAAGGACTATAACATCTGAGGGATGAGGCCTGATAAGCATGCCTGATAAAAAAGAAAACGGAAAAAAAAAAGGCAACATTCAGAACAGGGGAAGAATAAGGCTATGCCTCATCCAAATTGTAGTACCTTCAAGATTATTTTTATTCCTTTAAATTACATTTATCATTATAGGACAGTTGCTACCCCCCATATTCACTAGCATTTTTTATTACTTTCTTTAAAAATTGCACCTGGAAATTAAAGACCAGTAGCCCTTGGTTTAA